CATACAATAGTATATTGAAAGACAAGTGTTACAATGCGACCTATTGTAATACGACTATCTTGTGGCACGAGTGGCGACGCCAAGCGTAGCCACGAGTGTCCGCAAGATAGGAGTATTACAATAAAGCATTGTAACACGCGTTTTTCATACTATTTTTTCTATTTCGGTGCTTTAATTTAATGAAAAAAATCATTATCAGAAACTATAGGGAACATTAGAACTAACATGTTTTATGTTGGGAACACTTTTTATGCCGTTAAGTTTTAGGTTGGCATCGTAGTAAGACTGACATTTTGAAGTTCAAACATGGAAGTACCCAACGAAGTACCTACTTGTACTAACTAGTAACTGCCAACTTAAGAGATTAGTTACCAAAAAAAAAACGACTATAATCACTGTCTTTGTACAACTGTTTTCGGCCGAAAACAGTTGTACAAAATCATCATTGTGACACCGAAATAGAAAAAATAAATTCTCTTTAGTTCGCGAAAATTTAATTTCAATGCTTTCCTTGGTCATTTTATGTATTTTGACCTGGAAAATAAGATAGTTTGTAATGATATCCATATATTCAAAATGAACAGCTTTTGTAAATAGCGAGTAGTGTTGATTCACGATATTAAATTCAAAACGGTGTTATATTCAAAGGGGCCAAGCCAAGGGGGCAACTCATATCGAATTCTCTAAAAGAAAAAAATACTTCAAGAATTACAACACGCCCATTAGGGATTGTTTTAAGATAAGGGATGTAAGGAAAAACAAATCCCAATACACGATAGAGGTGCGCGACTCGACGAATTTGTTGTGTTGTTTATAAATTTTTAAGGTTGTAACATAGTGCCACCAAAATTTTTTTTTCAAAACGCTTCTGCATTATTGCTTTGCGATATATTTTCATGGGTTAGCGAATTATTAAGATTATGTATCGCTTTGTATCACTCGTATGGTAGGTAGGTATAAGACTGAACATTGAAGGTTACCGCACATCATTAATCGTCAACTGTAGATAAATGTACTGGACCTACAAAAAAGTGAATACATAACTTTGTTGATGAAGGACTCCATTTTTGTTTGACTGATTATTAATATATGATGAAAATTAATTGAGACTCAAAATTTTTTATTTTCTAAGGGCTATCGATTTCGACGAGAATGTCATCTTCAGGCCGAGCTGAAAGACTATACACATTTTCATGTAAAATCTTTCAGCTCGGCCTGAAGATGACATTCTCGTCGAAATCGATAGCAGTTAGAAAATAAACATTTTTGAGTCTCAACTCTCCATTAATTTTCATCATATGTGAATACATAAATTGTCTCTTCAATTTCTTATAGAAATATTTTTTGTGTAAAAGTAGGTAATAGTTTCTGACTTATATTGAAAAAACGTAAACAAAACCGGTTTTTTTTGTTAATATAAAAACATAACATATTGACGGAAAAAAATTTCCCTAGGTTATATCTCATTAATCGCATAATTTTCGATCTCTGACGCCTGGACTATGTGGATTCTTTACGAAAGCAAATTCATACAAAACTTCTTAAGGAATTCAAAAGAAGGGTGACGCTAGATTATTTGAGGTTATTTTAGGTTTAGGAGATCGCCCTTTCAGCTACATTCAGAGGGCAAATTCACATGATTTTCCTGATTGTTAGGCACATTGGTGTTTATTGATGGGCTCCAGCATCTCAGTAAGTTTCTTCAATAGTTTTAGGAGAAACTACTTGCCTTGGGCGCCCTGAGATGAATACTAATAATAAATTTGATAAAATAAAACGTTACACTAACTTCATAAACCATAAAATTGAAACTTTTATACAGTAATTTGAGTATTAATGTACTGTTTGTAAACTTTCATCATTTAAGATTACGTTTATATATCCAACGCATTTTACACATAAAAGTTCCGTCAAGAAACTGTCGTTTAACTAAACCAGTTTGCATAACTACAGGGAAGAGCTTTGTCAAATTGATGTTTCCATTAAACTACTTGACACATTAATCCGTGACTATATGAGTTATACGTTAGGGACGTTTTGGAAAGTGCGCGACAAGTATTCGCAAAGACCCAAACTAATCTACAGCCGGATTGCTACCGATTAAGTAGCATTAAACGTAATTAAGGAAGGTCAATAATCATTTCGAGATTTCTACTCGTAAATTATCGAGAGCTATTAGTAAATACCTTTGCAGATTGGTTTCTTTAGAAATTTAAATCGAGTACAGGCAAATCCCGAGCGATTTGCAATGCTACTAAATAATTAAATATCACACTTGAGAGTTTAATTTTATTTACACTTCGGAATTTGAGAACTTGCAACTCGTAAATGTGTATTTAAAATCTGCACTTCCTCCTTCATTTACTTGTCGATTGTCGATGCGGTTCTAAACTTGTACCCGAAGGCTAATGATCGAAAAAATAACAAATTCCTGATCCACTTTTTTCTGAATTCCTTAAATTTTGTTCCTGTATTCCATCTACTACACCCTCTGCATATTTTAAATACCTCTCCAACTGCCGTTGAAATAAGGAACGAAAAACAATGAAGAAAAAATTACTAGTGCACGGAGGATTCAGAATAGTTTACATATTCTGCTTCCTTCGGGACATCCATCCGGTAGTGGATGCTCTTATTTGCGAAGTACAGAAAGTTGTACTGCAGAAATTCAATCTCGAGAAAGGTTTAGGTTCTTTTATTTCCGCAGTATAATAGGATTGACTGGATTTTTTATTTTCTGAAACAGCATCAAAAGAAGTTCAGCAAAAGCGAAGGTTGCTAATAAGTTCTTTCTCTTTAGGTTTCAGCGACCCCTACTGCATGTTGGGAATACAGCCGGTTCCGGCGCCTTCGTCGCCTCAACCGCTAGCATCCAATCGCACTCTTTCGGAAACCTGCAATGACGGGCAGGGTAATCACGAAAAGCTCCGGAAGCATCACAGCTTCAAGCTGAGCTTTAAACGTAAGGAGGGTCGCATCCGAGAACAAAGAGACAGTATCGGCGGAGCGCTACCTGCTAAATTCATACGCGCCACGTCCGTTAAATCTCATACTCTTAATCCACGATGGAATGAGAAGTTTAGGTTGTAAGTATACACCTTGCACGTAATTACATTTTCTCGTTACCTACCTTTTTATATAACCTCGAACGCTTTATTATATAAGCGAGCTAATTCCGCAGTGAGCTGCCACGCTGGGCTCCACTTAATTGCTTTTAGAAACGGATGTGATATCACCTAATATACGCTTTCGAAAAAAATGTACGTAAAACACGCGAGTTCGTCCATCCAATCATAATTTTCCGTACCTACTCGAAAGATCAAAGCTCTTTCGCTTAACTACAACATCAAGAAGGTTGAAGGGTCGAGAACAATTGATTTTAAAGCTTTCAATTAAGCGCGACCATTTCATTCTTTTTGGCGTAGATACTTAATGAAAAAGGAAATCGTGCCATTAACAGATAATGAACCAACGTCGGGGGTTCGTTCGATAGTGTCATTGGAGAGTTTGCAAAAAAACTTGTTTGCAAAACCGCAAGCTATCTAATGGAAGTGTCAGCGTGATAAATTACAATTTTGGATGCTCTGAAAATGCATCAAAGAATTCTTGTAATTGAAAATGTTTAAAGGCCGTATTTCGCTCATATTTCTTATATGGTTTTGTAAATTAGGAAAAAAATATCATGTCTTGTTACTGTTGTAGCTGTTGTGTTGGTGTCATAAGTTAACGCAGTACAAAACAGACCTTGTTCTTTTATGAATAATATTGTTCTTCTTCTTCTCGGAGTCTTTTCCTGATGTCCTGCGCTAATCTTTTCATTTCTACATATCTACCCTTGTCTACGTCCCTTCTATGTATCTAAGGCTCTGTCGTCCTACCCTTCTCACCTACCTTCTATAGCTAGCTATACTAATACTCCGCGTCTGAGCACGTGCCCTATTATTCTCTCATCTTCTCTGTTTCCACATTTCTCTATCTTCTTGTACAAGCTTCAAGCTCACATTTCGAAAGCTTCTATTCCCGATTTCACAAACGAAGGTAAGGTTAATCATTGGTTAGAACGTTAGCCACCTTTGATTATAAGGTAATGGCCGGTTTCACAATCGATAATTAAGGTTAATCAACGAGCAAAAATATTAGAATCGAAAGTATGTAATGTTCTCTCTGCTGGAGAGGACATTTAGGGAAAAGAACCACTTGAAGATGACTTTAAAAACTTTATTTACAACTCAACACCTACCTATATCTACTACATTTCGATTAATAATGACTGCACTAATCAGTTAATTAATTGTTCACGTCATGCGCAAATCATTATTTTGGACTATAGACATGAATTTGTAACCTATAAGTAGAAATCAACTAAAAGTACTACTTAAAGTAACAAAAACGAACTAGTATAGGCGCGAAGTTAACCAAAATAAATATTCTAATAAAGGTCTATGGAAAGTCGTTCACTCAATTAGTAGTAGTAGTAATAGACAAAGTGGAGAAGACAGGTCCTGTATCACTAAATGAAAATTGCCTAATAATGCCATTATTGAAAATGAAATGGATCTGGCCAACCATATGAATCAGTATTTTGCCAATGCAGGAAAAAACCTGACAGACAAAATTCATTGACCTCCTACTACGCCTCGGATTAATAAGCAGTGGCGTATTTACGGGGGGGGATGAAGGGGATATATCCCCCCTCCCCAGAAGAATTGAGTTATCATCATAGCTATTAGGTATTTAGGTAATACTCCGCTATCCACTCCGTCCACTTTAAAATAAAAGTAATAATATATAGGTATATATAGAGAGCAATTTTGGTTTTTGGTTAAAAGTCTAAAGTCACTAAAATCTAAATATTCTGTAGTACTCACTATTCACTATTCAGTGAGTGATCAGTGTTGGCAGTCAACGACTTGGCTATTCGGCATCGATCGGCAATTCGCTACATTGATGCCCAAAATAACAAATAGGTATCAGGTACTTAGTACTGCTAGTGAGATGAGGTACCTGCGTCCTGCCTTTCACGAAATGACGAAAATAAGAATTTTAAATTTTAAAAACAGGAATTTTTTTGCCCATAACTTTTGATTGAGACGTCTAATCGAAAAAGTACGAATCGTTTTGGATTCTACGCACCCAAATTGATAAGAAAAAGTTTTTTCCCGAGAAATTTTAGTGTAGTCGATTTTTGGGAAAAAAGGAAGGTAATACACTGCCTTTTTTTTGCCCAGAGAAAAAAATTGTCTCAGATCGACCGGAAAAAAGTATTTTTTCTCCAACCACCTGAATAAGACGCTATTTTGTGATAGTGTTCGGTACCTAAAATTGACGTTTTGCGGATTAATCGCTTTCACCATGGCAACTGTACAAAAGTGGATACTTTTGGTCCTAGTACCAAAAAGAAATTGACCTTGAAAGTTGACCAATTAAAAAATTACAATCACGGAGATATGTCACATTGACATCGTTTTACATTGCAGGTTGTAAGATATTTCTATATACATACAAATCAAATATTTTTGCATATTCAATGCAAATAATGATGTTACCTATACGTATGTACATGTATTGAAAATGATTTACGCTCGCTATTTTTATTTAAACCATGTGTAACGTAATTTACATATTCCGTGAACGTAATTTTAATACGTATACAACCCGCCGTCGCGCGTAACGCCATCTATACTTCAGACCCATTGCACTATTATCTGTCATTTTGAATTCAAAATTTGAAAAAGTTAATTGCAATTAATTTTAATTAAAAAACTGTATGGTAAGTTTTTTATTTCAATACAAAATATAACAATATTAATTGTTTATACAATAAAATGACTGAAACTGATAGCGACATGGATTGCACTCCGTCAGAGATTATAGAAACGGCAGAACATGCTACCTCAAGATTTGCTCCCTACAAAGTCGCGAGAGGTGAGAAGTAAGAAGTAAGAACGAATAGGTTATAAGTTAACCTAAAAACTAGAGTGGCATGACACGTGAGGACAAGAAAGCAAAAGTTCTTATAGGTACTGTAGTAGTGAAACTGTAACTGAATCTGAATTCGAATATAATTTGAAGTAAAGGAGGTTGGAGAAAAAATTTTATGTTTTATTCGTACAAAAAATGCGTTTTCGGGACTCGGAAGGTTGCTGGACTCCGCTAACGCGTCGTCCAGCAACTATCTTCCTCGTCCCGAAAACTGACATTTTTTGTACTAATGAAACAAATAACTATTCTTATAGAATGTGGCCTGTAGAATCCATAATTCCAAACAGTTCCAAGATCGGACTACTAGATCAAAAGTTACAGCCCTTTGAATTTTTTGTCGAAATTGGTTTTTTGCCCATAAATATACCTATTATTCAAAGTTTTCGTTGACTAATTAAAGCAAAAGCAATAAAGGGGCCTGTCAGCAGTAAGAAATAAAATACCGTTCTAATCTAATCTTTTTCGCCTGTACAATAATAAATAGATAAGTGACTACCAGTATCAGCAACCTGCAACCCAATTTCTATTTCTTACCCCCCCCCTCCCCCTTCTAGTACGCACTGGGTGACTGTATGTGCCACGAACTTGTTTAATCCCCCCCACCAGAATACATTTCTACGTACGCCACTGTTAATAAGTACGTAGATAATTCTATATTTTTTTTCCCAACTGATGAACAAGCAGTATTACGACTAATAAACTCATTTAATAGAAAAAAAAACCCGGGAATAGACTAAATTCAAGTAAAAACTTTACACGAAATTAAATACGAAATATCCAAACCGTTAACTTACATATTTAATCAGGTATTTGAGGAGGGCGTTTTCCCCGAGAAACTTAAAAGTGCAGTAATTATACCCCTACACAAACAGAGCGACAAAACAAACCCCTGTAATTATCGGCCTATATCCTTGCTATCCAAGATTGGTAAAATACTTGAAAAATTAATCAAATTAAGAATTGAGAGTTACCTTGGAAAACAACATTTTTTCAAATAAAATCAATTTGGATTCCGTGAAGGAGTATCTACTGAGGATGCAATGTGTGCTGTAATGAATGACGTACACAAAGCACTTGATGAAGGTAACTATGCGCTTGGTATTTTTCTGGCTCTAGCCAAAGCTTTCGATACGGTCTGTCACTCTCAGCTGCTCAATATATTGTCGGGTTTAGGGGTGTCGCATTTAGTCTCATGCAGTCTTATCTTGCGAACAGACGACAAATTGCCAAAATAGGTAACAGTTTAAATAACACAGAGGTAGTGCAATACGGGGTTCCTCAAGGAACTGCACTGGGACCAATTCTTTTTAATTTCTATATTAATAACATACTTGACATTCACACTAGTGGTAAAATATTTAGTTTTGCTGATGATACAGTTGTGTTGTACAATCACTCTTTTTGGACTTTTGGATGAAAACTATGTAAAACATGATTTTAATAAAAGTATTGATAGTTTTCATCATAACTTATTAACAATAAATTATGACAAAACTGTGATAATCCCATAATCAAAGGTTGCTAACATTCTAATATTTTTAATCAATGATTAACCTTAATCATCGTTTGTGAAACCGAGCATAAGATGCATAGTAGTCCCGGATGTAGTTCTACATTTTCTCATTCATTCACGGTTATTATTTATACTTAGTGTTCCTTAAAGACATGCTAATATTTAAGGATGTGATTCTTAGACCCATTTTAATAAAAAAAACTTCCGATGAACGTATGTCCTAAACGTTTTAATTTTTGAGATACAGGGTAGTCAAGTTTTAAAAAAATCAGTTTTTTAATAATAATAATAGAGATAATATTGCAGACTGTGCAAAAGTTTTTATTTTCTCTGCCAGTGGCGTCCGTACGGCTTTTGCATTGATAATTTTTGGAGAAAAATACTACGCCAAGGTTTCACGTATCGAGCTACACTCCAGGTCTACGTTTTTAGCAGCCTTTTCCTAATTCTGCTAGTATTACTATGTCACCGGGTATCTCAGCATATGATTGTTTCTACTGCACTTTGACCCCTAAGTTAAAATCTTGCTTTACTCCATTTATGGCTTATGCACCTTGGCCTCACCCTCTACGTTAATCCCTGCTCGCTGTT